ATGCACTATTTTTGAGACTTAATTTTTTTATTTTTCATAGTCATACATCTTGATGTCGAGATGATCAATCAAATAGTTTTTTAACATTAAAACTACTTTTTCCGATGAATTTTTAAGGGGCATCCGTAGTTCTACATTATAAGCTTGCTTCCTTATATAAACATTTTCCATTATAAAAAGGGCTAAGGATAAAAAAAGGGTGCTTGAACTGCTAGGCTCTCAAAATGCCTCTTGTATCTACAAAGGCAAGGATTAAACGAGTATAAGAGAGTTGCCTACCAACTAGCAAGCCTCTAGGGATGGCAATGGACCCAAACCCAACCTGGACTTGAGGGGTAGACCTAATCTCGACCCGGGACTCAAGGGGTAGACCTAATTTGAGTCCAGATATAGGTCCAAAATTGGACCTAATGGGTCTGATCTGGTCACATTGGACCCGATAACTATTTGGATCCGGGTATGGTAATATTTTTTAGATCCCAATATATGAAATGTGTTTAACACTTCTATACCATTGTTTTGGGCATGAAGAATTTTTTAATAAAGATATTTTTTGTTATTAGGAGGGTGTGATGTCATCCATATAGGGTGTGACATCACCCACTTGGAGCATACTAGTGACATTTAATGTTCCATATGGGTGATGTTACACCCCATGTGGATGATGTTATATCTTTCTAATGATAAAAAATACCTTTATTAAAAAAATTCTTCATATACAAAATAAAGGTATAGAAGTGTCCAAAATTGTTGAGTACAATGATAAATTGGTCTTTAGTGTGAGCACCCTAACATAACCCATATATATATATATATATATTAAGATGCTAGGGTGAACCCACTAGCTCACAGAAAAAAAATAAGCCCAACGGCTTATATTGAATCTGGGCCGATCTAATGATCACAGATACCCAATAGTATTTGAATTTTAATTGTTTTTCTACAAATCCAAATTACTTAAAATTTTAGACATGTGTTGATAAAAAATAAGGGAATATTTGAAAAATATTTTTAAAAAAAATTTACGTGAAAACAAAATGACCAAAATACCCTCATAAATTTTTGAAGGTATTTGGTCATTTTTATTTTAAGGATTATTTTTTTTTATATTTTTTATTAGGTGCGACTTGATGAGAAGAATATTCACCTAAAATTTCAAATGATTTGGATTTGTTAAAAAAAAAATTAAAACTCAAATACTCTCAACCGTCAGATCTGTCCAAATTCAATCTGGGCCATTGGGCTTATACTATTCCGTGAGCTAGTGGGCTCACCCAAGCTTTTCCCACACACACACACACACACACACATATATATATATTCTTTTTTTTTTGGGTCTGATCCGGATTCC